GACAAGGGTGCTAGCGCTGTTCACCAGATGTGAGCAAAAAGGAAAAAAAGGAGAGAGAGAGAGAGAGAGAGAGAGAGAGAGAGAGAGAGAGAGAGAGAGAGGCGCTCCAGATGGTGTTTAAACGCAGACAGAAGGCTACAGCGAGGACACAGAGAGGAGGAGGAGGAGAGCGCCGTGCGCACTGTGCGCTTCATCACCGAGGACAAAACAAGACCGGGAAAAAAAAAAAAAAGCCCTGAAATATCCAGAACTGACGGGTAAATCAGAGTTTGATTTGCTTTTTGCTGAAAGTGTCCCCCCCCCTCCTCTGGGGAGAAGTGAAGGTTTGACGAGGCGACCATCTGAGGCGCAGCTCGGAGGATCCGCGCGTCGGAGGAGGAGGAAAAGAACCGCGGAGGTGGAGCAGTCTGTCCGCAGCCTGCTGCACAACAAACACAGGATTAAAGAGAAAAAAAAAGATTTGTCTTTCCTGTCAGATGGATGAGAACTTGTCTCTGACTCCCCGGACTGCGGCCAAGCTGTGAACTTTTCAGAAAATCAGGTTGTAAAGTTGGAAGAAGAGGGAATAAAGACGCAGCCTGCAGCTCAGAAGAGCCGCATCTTCATCCTGCTTCACGTGGACGCGATCTGAGGACTTTCAGCAACACATTTGTTCATTTAAACACTTTTAGATGCTGAAAACGGACGATTATTTTTGCAGTTAAGACACTGTGTCGTGTTCCTGTTTTTCTGGGATGATGTCTCACAGAGCGGATCTACAGGACTGGAACAAGTTCTGAGTTAGAAACACCAGAAACCGCTTTTGCTTAAAAAAAAAAAACATTTATCTCCAACTGCAAAACCAAAGACATCACTTTTCTTAAGGATCCAAGCTTTGGTTTTATTTCTTTTTTGTTATTATTTGAAATAACTGAGACAAATACCTCACAGTCTAATTTATTCAACCTGGAATTCCTTTCTTTTCTTTTCTTTTTCGTTTTATTTTTTTTTTTGAACATCCAAAGGAAAGTTCAACATTAAATGTGAAAAGACTCGTTTTTTTCCCACTCTATTTCAAAGATAAAAAGGAATAACAAAACAAAGGCTTTATCCTTTTTTGTTCTCCCTCCAAATGATGGGGATTGAGGCGGTTTAAAAACCAGTTAAGAAGCTGTTTGGTGTGGATTATCACCGCTGCCTTCCCTCAGCTTGACCTTCACCAAGTAAGTAAAAAGCTGCTCTCACAAACTGAGGAAACACATCCTCAGACTTTGTTGTTTTCAGCAGAGGAAGCTGGTTTTAAATGAACCAACTGCCAAGTTCACAGCCTTTTTTTTTTAGGATCTGAATGTTTTTGTGAAAGTGCAATATTTGGATTTTGTTCATAAAATCACACTTTCTTGAAAGCATTTAACTTTTTTAAAAATTTTGTAAAGTAACTCTCATCTGTTCAAGTAAACATTTTAAATTAGCTGCTTAGAAATAAGGTTAAATGTGTGTTTWTGGTTCACGACAAAGAAAGAGGAACATTTTGAACACTTTTCCTTTGTTACGTTTTATCATTTTTGATATTTGAGGCAATCGTTGAGCTGAAAGTGGGCGACAAATTGAAGGGGGTCATGAGTTGTGTGACCCCCCCACCCCCTCAGAGTCTGAGCTGCACATCAAAGGGATGCTGAGACAAAGTGATGACACCAAATCTCCGCTTGTGATTCGAGTGTCCATCCAGAGAGCATTAAGGTGACGGGTGTGAAAGGATAAGTGTTGCCATTTACTCCCTCAGAGGAGCCTCTCTTGTGTTGGGCATCATCAATCCTTTCTCTTGAGTGGTACGGTGGGTTGTTTTATTGTTAGGAGACGATTAAAAAGCGTTGAACATTAAGTCAATTCCAAATGCTTACATATAACAACTGTGAGGAGAAACAATAAGGTCCTCCACCCTCTGCTTGAACAGCTTCAGCAGCAAACTTCTCCCCCTCCTCTGGATGGAAGTGCAACAGTAAAACACTCTGGCCATCTTCTCTGCAGGACACAGCCCCGTATAATTGGCCCTGGTAAATATCATGTGAATAATTGAAGAGCTGATAATAGTCTGGAACAATGGATGAGAGGTTGCAGAGGTGAAACCGCAGTGCAGACACCCTGCCTCACCGCACATTATACATCCCTTCATCACCACGGAGCGAGCAGCTCTTCCTTCCCTGTGATCAGCGGGGCCTTCCAGATGTCCCCTCTTCACCGCTAAAGGAGCGCTCCTTAAAAGGCAGCCCATTCATTACGACCCCATCCACCACAGGTGCACGCTTTAGATGTCRTCTCTCAGCTTTTTTATTTTTTTCTGTAGCTGCTGGAAACATACCACAAGTCTTGGACTTGTTTTCTCCCAGCAGAGACTCTTCTGTTAAAAGCATTATCAAKAAGAAAAGAAACATTTTTTAATATCAAATGCTGAAGATTCGAAAATGCGGGTACGCACTCGATGTAAACAAAGCTTCAGCTGAATCCAATATTAACCGCGTGGAAGCTTGAGTTGTATTAGTCTGACTGGAGGTTAACAAATACAACCGTGGAATTTGAGAGGAAAAGTGTGACCCATCACATCGAAACAAGGAAATAGGCAGATATAGTGTTTGATTAAAACATTTGCAAAAATTGCATTTTGTCAAAACATAACGAATATACATCCTTAAAAAAAACATAACGAATAAATGTGTATCAATGTATCATTTCAATGAACTGTCTGAAATACAGTATAATCATAAAGCAAAAATTTTGAAACGTTTTTGAGGATCCAAACACCTGATTTTCAGGAAAAACGCCTTAAATTTTTCCCTGTGAGCTAGCAAAGTTTTTGTTTCTTTCCAGCTGGAAATTCTCAATATTCAGATACTATCTGAAGTTTTGTCTTTATATTGACATTAAAAACTCCTCCTTTAAAATTACATAAAATTAGGATTCAGACCAAATTTTATTGTATTATCATAACCAACAAGACACATTAAGTCATATCTCTGGATCCACGCAGGATATCAGGATGATCCAGCTATCAAAATGTAGCTTGTAAAGCCAGGAATCTGAAAAAGTTTGACTAAATCCTCATTTTGACACGATGGGTCACATATAAGAGTTAATTTTCTGCAAAAACAAAAGAAAACAGAAAGATTGTATAATGTTAGTGATCAAGCAGGAACAAAGCTCAGCATTCAAAAACTTATTCTAGGCCGATGAGTTTAACCAGTTTTCTGTAGGCAAATAACAAAGTTAAAGACATGTTTATCAATGATACGTAAAGAATATTGTGCAGATTTTGTTTTCAGTCGGGTCTTTCCACTTTACTTGTCAAATTAAAACCCATTTAGTGCTTTTCTGAGCCACAGTTTGTCAGTATTTGTAATGTTTTTGATCATTTCTCACACTGTTCGGGTTGATACTTGACGCTGCAGCTCTTTGGACACAGCTCAGCATGTTTTACTGTGTGGTTTTGTGTGTGCGCGTGTGTGTGTGTGTGTGTGTGTGTGTGTGTGTGTGTGTGTG